ATTTGGGCTGCGATCACACCTAAGACGCCATTGACGTCATCATCGCTTCGCGATGGACATCCAAGAACATAAAACTTATTACAAATTATATTATCATTTATATGCCAAGTTTATTTTCTCCCAAAATGCTTGGGCTGTTGTATAATTTGACACATAATTCACATTCAAAGGGATATCTATTTTAATACTGCCATATTGCAATGGACTTATTACTAGTATTATGTTCAATAAGCATTGTTGAATTCCTTCTGGAGGTTCAATCCCATGACTTCGCCTGGGCAGTTTCGATCGAGTGGATGTTGATACCTTTACTCCATGATATTACGTCTCGGTTATTGCCTACGTTTCTGTTACGATCGTTTCATATATACCTACTTAGCTCTGGGATATGATAGCTAGTTAGACTGACATATCAAACCTGTGAGGAGATGGGTAACAGTCTACAGATAACCTTAGTTTGCGTATACTAAAGAGAAATTGAATCGACACATGGAAGTCGGGGAAATCTCTTCTTCAAAATAAGTATGCCATCTAAGAAACACTTATTACTCGATAAAACAGATCCATCCGAAATTACTAATATTACAATCGGAAACATCACACCCAATTTATTCGAAACAGTTTACTTGTCTTCAACAGAACACTTGTTAACACAAGAAATAATCCGTATATCGAAGAGGAATACTCAGGATCCTACACCTTACCAGTAATGGCGGCCAGAAAGGAAGATTTCACGCATGGCATTGTGGGTGTTCACTCGGTTGCCCAAAAAATTATAACATTTAATGCTAACTTTTAAAAAATGCGATTTCAAACCGTTTTACTGAAAAAATATAATAGATAGAATATCAAATCATTACATTATTATAGTAACTAACTATTTTTTGTTCTTGAACTTTCACCTTTCGTCCGCGGCATTTGTGTGTATCATGGCGGCTGAAACATCGACAGCGACTTTTGTGGGAGATTTCTCCTCTGTTTTGTAACCATTGCCATGTGATATGTTCAATTTGCTTCTGAGAATAGGAACGGCAATACTTAGGGACCAAATGTCAGGCTCGCAGGCTTTCTATGCTGTTAGGAACGGGCGGAACCCGGGTGTTTACCGGACATGGTAGGTACTGGGGCCAGGACGTGCCCGGACAAGACGCGAAGGGCATCTTATGACGTAACGCAACGTGTCCCTTCTCAGGGCCATGCTCCAAAGTATAATAGTGCATCTACAAAGCGAAACGCCTTTATGTGTTTACTTGACTGTAAGTGCGTAGGACCTAGAGAACCAATCTAGGTGACTCACAGATGTTTTCATAAATTATGAAACATAATTTGTAAGAAACAAGAGGAGCCAGACCCCCCACTGTTACAACATCTATCCGCTACCGTTGGTAGGCTCCCTGGTGGGGTTCCAAACCCATAGCACTCTGGACACAAAAGTATCTCAGTGAGCCCATAGCAGTGTGCTATGGGTTTGGAATCCAGACTAGCATCACTGTTTTTCTCTACCCTCTCTTCACAACAGGGATGAGTGCCGGGACCAGGTAAACAAGTACTCCAATGCGCAGTTCAAGAAGTTCAGGACCCAGGAGGAAGCCTATCAGTTTATGTCATCACAGGGTGGCAGGGCCTCTTCTTCTGCGACATCCACATACAGACATGCGCCCGCAGCTTCTCCATCTTCCTCCTACACAGCAGCTTCTTCATCTTACTCCTACCAAGGAGGCTCTTCCTCCTACTCAGGCAGGCGCTCAGGTAAAGGTGTTAGGAGGATGTAGAATTAGAAAATTAACAGAAAATTGAATAAAACTTCATTTCAAACTTTGTCTTAATTTTCCTGAGTACATGGCAAAAAAGCTCCTAAGATAAGCATCTCTGTAATAATTCATGAATTGTTGGATGTCATGAAAAAAAAATGGGGCAGAATATGTTGGCCTTTTCCCCTCTAGTTGTCCATGAATGTGATGCAGGTAATAGTAACGTTCTTTATGTTTTTGCAGGCTACCAGGCAAGGCCCTTTCCTTACATGCGAAAGAGATCTTTGTCACCTGCTGCCTCCGTACAAGCAGCCTCCATTGACATTGAACACCAGAGTCCAAAAAGAGCCAGATACGTGGACACCAACTTCAACGAGAGAGAGAGTACTAGTATCAGTGGCTTCACATATAAAGGTATAATCCAGGTATTTCTTTCAGGTTCCCTCATAAACTTAAAGGTATTTCTGTCATGTAATGTGTTGCACCATTGGAAGATACGTTTGATTAAAGAGAAGAAAAATTATTACAGTATACTGTATTCTGGCTGGCAGGCTTTTAGCTAGGGGGTGTCCAGGGTGTCTTTTGGACGCCCTGTACTGAAAATAATAAGAAATTGGACGCCCTACTTTTTTGTAGGACACCCTAAAGACGCCCTATTTTTTCCACTCCCAACCCTTGCCATGCACACATGCCTCCCTTCAGCCTTACTATAAATACAAAAATGATGGTTTACTGAAGGAAAAAACTCAAATTTACCCCTGAAAATGCAGAAAGTAGTGTTTGAGAGCATTATGAATTTCAAAAAAGCCACCCTAAAATCTTGCACTCAGCACGTCTTCACTGTGCATAGCATACAATAAAAAAAAAATGGACACCCACCAAAAAAATCCTAGCTAAAAGCCTGCTGGCTGGGCTTTAGATTTCTTCGGCATACTTGTCAGATCTCTTACGTTCTTACCGTAGTTGTACTACAGTTTTTGGTATTTACTATTATTATTATTAGGTGAGATGACTGAGATCATTGCGGCAATCATGTTTGCTCTGATCCAGAAGTTTTGAGTGTGCAACAAGAGATTGTCATCATCTCCAGATAGTACTGTACACAAGGTACATACCAGTACTGTAGAAAGTTACTACCTACTATACTGTTACTGTCGTTTAAATATTTTCCACCCTATGTTATATAAATTATCTGTCTTGTTTTGCCCTGCGTAGATGGTGCAGCGGTGGTGTACACAGATGGTTGCTGCACTGACAATGGCTTCCATGGTGCTAGTGCAGGAATAGGTGTCTACTGGGGGCCCGGGCATGAAAGGTACTTAGTAGGTTTTCAGTTGTGTAAAGTTATGTGCACATATATCCTAGGTTGGCTGACCAGGGTAATACAAAATGTATATACTAATAATACAATTGTACTCGTATAGATTTACCAACAAGCGTATGTATCTCAGCGTTGATACAGTTTTTGTTTATGATAATACATGTAGTACATGACGCTAACAATTTATTCCAGAAATAGTTATATTGATCATGTATGCTGTTACTGATCTGATTTCTTTTTTGGTCTGGTTGATGGTCTGATAACTTTTGTTGTTGTCCTTTTAGAAACGTAAGCGCCAAATTACCTGGACGACAGACAAACAACAGAGCAGAGATCCATGTAAGACCTGTTGTTTTCTGCTTTTCTTTTGGTACAATATTCTGTACCAGTTGTCCTTACCTATGTATAGTACTAGTATGTCTAACTGTTCAATAGTTTGTATGTTTAAGTATTGACAGTAAATGTCAGGCAAAGAGCCGCCATTTGAATGTTATGAAATTTTATTTCATTTTGCCCATATGATAGGCAGCACGTCAAGCCATTGAGTCTGCTAAAGAGATGGGCTTGGCAAAGATCAGTCTGCACACGGACAGCCAGTTCCTCATCAATGGTGAGTCTCTTTTTTTGTTCTTCTCTTTTTTTGATTTAGCAGCCTACCTTGTGCACTAGAATTGTTTTCACATCAATTTAGCTGAACGTTTTTGCACAATCCACTCCACGTGATAGTAGCAAAATTATCACTATTATTCAGAATTTTCTAATTTTGGATTTGATAACAGGTTTTTGTAATGGTGTTCACAGGTGTAACAAAATGGATTCACGGCTGGAAGAAAAACGGTTGGAAGTTATCCACAGGGAAACCTGTCCAGAACAAGGAAGACTTCCAGAGCCTGGACTCGGCACTGCAGGGTATAGATGTGCAGTGGGTAAGTCTGGGAACGTGTGTCATTCCCAAATTGTGCATATTGTTGATTAGATGTACATAAAGTTATGCAATTTCTTGAGGTTGTCACTCGAATCACGTAATACCAGTAGACATCGTAAGCAGTTAGCATTTTCTCTGTGCATTGTTGTAGTTGTGCATTGAAGGGGATAGCTTTGATAGTGTTTGTTTTATTTTATTTTATTTAACTTCACATAGACTATTGTATTCTGTTTATCAGGTCTGAGCTTTCTTTGTGTTGGGCTAGACAATCACAGCTATGCTTGAAATTTGTTGAAAACCTATGTTTGTTTCTGCTCTGTGCCTGTCAGGTTCACGTGAGGGGACATGTCGGCATCCCTGGGAACGAAGCTGCAGACGGTCTGGCCAGGGAAGGATCACGCAAGTCTCTGGAAGATAGGGGAGCTCTGCGCAACTGAGATCTCGTGCATTTTCTACAAGGATTATCGTATATTTGCCATACTTAACTATATCACGAAGTTCCTTCCACTTTGTTGCAATGTTAGTTTATATTTTGCCTTTGTTCCACGTGTTTCAAAAAGTCTGTCCCAGTGACAAAGGAGACGTAAACAGGCTTTATTTATATTAAAAGTTGACCACTGAGCATCATCAAACGTTCCTGGTGTTTTTATTGTACTAATGCACTGGTATGTGCTTGTAGCAGTACAGATATTTTCCATAACATCAGTAACACTGGCTTTCAACTTTAAAAAAAAACTGTTAAGTCATCGTAAGCAAACTGTGGTTTAGTGAACTTTTATTCCAGTAACCACTCCACTAATATCATATATTTCTAACCATTATCCCCACTCTGTATAAAACTACACCTTTCTGGTAGTTGAACAGTTAGAGTGATTTGGTTTCCCTCACATGTTCAGCTACCAATAATTAAACAGCAAAGCCCTTAGGGCAAATGACTACTGCCTGATGTTCCTAAAAAAATGAGATATATATATATGCAGTGATGGGCTGACAGAAGTCTGCCTCAATAGTAAACAACCAGAGCTTCTTGCATGCAAAAACAGTGAGTGCCCTATACAGTGATTTGAGCGAATGGAAAGTCGTAAAGTAAAAGCAGATACTTTCCTAGTAGATCTTTTATTGTCTTGTGCAACTGCCAGAACACATCGCTAAATTAAGAAATCAGACTAGGAAGTGTAACAAATGTGGCACTCAGCACTAAAATAGATCCTGTGTATCTTATACATGTATTTTGATTCAAACACTAATTTTACAGGGCAAACCTGACAAGGTGTATTTGAAGACTAAAACCACTGACCTGCAACACTCGACTCAAATTATTGACAAAGCATTTTAGTATATGCAGACTAATTACTACATGGATGTTGAAAAGATCACACATGCACAAATACATATCACACATTACAAATGTTGAGGGTACAAGATTGATATTCATATCAGGCACATTAGAATCTTATGTGGCATTTCATCCACGTTTACACCACTTTGGTAATTGGAAAACCAAGGGAGGAATCTATTGCGCTTCTAGATATCATACTACGTACATGTATTCAAATGTAAAATGGCCTTACCCCATACAAAAAAGTTCAACAGACAAAAGCAAAATATAAATCTCAAATAAGAAGACTGAGAAAAAGTACATGATTATGGAAATGAATTTTTTTTGTGGCATACCTATAATTTATGTAACTGTGGGACAAACATTTGATACTAGAATTGACACTGAGCTCTGACCCATATCCATTTTACACACCTTAAATAACACAGCTCATGCTCACAGAAGTGATACACAATATAAACTACACACTGCCCCAACAGGTCATGATGGAATGATATCTTCATTCAGAAATGACCATTTCTATCTTCCTGTAACATTTCAGTTAATAGGTTGACTTCAAATGAAAGAATCAATAAGTACTGTACAATTATCTCAGGTAATAATGCCTCTAAAAGATGCATGATTAATCTTATTACCCCTGTCTAAAGAATACACTAGCCCGTGCTCTGCCAAAGTGTGGCAGAGGTGGGCTAATCCATTATTGAGCAGGGGATGCCAACAAGCAGGAAACACCGACATTCAGCAATCCAGGAAGTTGGCGGCCATGAGCAGCTCCAAGGCGATCTCTGGCGCGATGGGGAATTCTGGGATTTCTGTGGAGCTGTTGGTGTAGCGCACCTTGTAGGTGAAATACATGCAGACCTTGGACAGGACATGGGATCTGTGGGGACAAAAGTTTTTATGTTTACCGAAGGAAGACATCGTTTTTGCTGTTTCCTCTTCTTCTCCAAACTAATGTCAATGACCTGAATGAGACATCTGTTACCATGGTCTGTCATCATGTTACATGATGACAGACCATGGTAACAGATGTCTCATTCAGGTCATTGACATTTCAAATTTATAGTAGGAGGGATTTAGACTGCAGTTAATGTGTTTAAAACATTATGTGTGGTAAACATTATGCATTTGCTTTGCAAATGTTACCTTTCTAATTAGTACATGTACCTATCATGTGAAATGTCAATGCAACTTTGGAATCTAAACATTCAACAGAAATGAGAACTGAGATACACCTGCTCATGGTGGAAATGCCTATGACAGCCTGACTGCAAACGTCTACAACCAGTCACATGGCCAAATAACAGTGGCTCAGTTTACATGATTTATAATGATACACCCGCAGTACTGTTACTACCACTGTAACATGGATGGTCCACTAAAGCAATGCTTCAACATATTTGGGCACATAAATTTGCTTTTATAGATGACAGCCTCACAGAGAATGTTGTCATACATGCCAATGTGTGCCATATCACTTTTGCCTATCAGTAACAAAGGACACTTACGGGATCTCTCTGAAGTTGACTTCATTCGTTTCATTTTCTGCAAACTGGCCTGAAATGAAACAAGAAAACTTAGTGATCATGGGAACTTCAATAACAATTCTTTTCATCCATTCACTAAAACAGTAGTACAATACTTCTAACATTGATAACCAGCTGCAGCTTTATTTATATTTTATCCCTTGAAATCAAGCAAAAAAATGCAAACTTAGAAAAACGACATTCTTTACATTATTTGGACATTTAAACCGAACAAATTCCTTGCATACCACTTTCAAAATAATACCACAGCTGGGTGCATCAACTAGGATTAAAGCTTTGTTTCAAAGTTTCCTTGGTCCCACCACAAACAAGGCAATGGGCTTAGTAGGAAATATTGAATATGATGTGGTCCAACAGCGAAACCTGAGACAAGAACAGATCCTGACAGCTGACAGCCATGTGCCGCTCTCAGTCTTGACAGGCATTAGGATGGACAACTTCGTGTATGGAATGGGGGGTTTATTTTGACCTTGTTTCTTTTCATATTTCAGCTGTTTTCCTGAATTTGAAGACTAAACTTGCATCTGTCCTCTGATTTACCAACAAACAAAGATTACACTTTAGCTTGGTACAAGCCTAAGCTTCAGCAGTCCTAACACTTGAAGCAATAAATAAAAATTTCAGTTTCACATAAATGTTTCTTTCACACACAAACTTGATGGGTTCCCACATTGTATTGTTGATTCAAATCTGGTAACTACATGGTTAATAAAACATAACTCTTGCCTACATACATTAAGTGTTAATGCTTTAACAAATGGTTTAACTTTAAGTCCCACCTGGACCACTCAGCATGGCCTTGATGGTGCCAGAGGTCAGGGCGTGGTCTCGCTTCACGATGAACTCGTGCCCATCAGAAGAGACCAGTTTCACATACATGGCATCAGGGCCTTCACAACCTCCATACACCTGATAAAGGGTTAACACATACATGTTTCAAAGGGTGAACACACACAAAAATTGTCTTCACATTATTTGCATATCAATCAATAGTTTGTGCTTATAAACCTGCATTTCTCCTCTGGTCTCACAGTCACTGATGAAAGCTAGTGGATACTAGCTGAAACGTCTGACCGTTTCCAAAATCATATCCAGTTGCTTGAGTAACTGCTTTTTGGCACATACATGTTTTGCCTGTTTACCACATATGGATACATAAAAAAGTCATCATTACTACACTAGAATTTTTAGTAGAAACTATCAGGTATGTGCAAAGTTAGTAACATCCCAATATGTGAGTTGGAGTCACAGCAACCAAGTTGTATTAGTTTCATTTGTCTGTAGCTTGAATGTTTGCATTTTAAGAAGATCAATCGACGTAAAACAGCACAGGAAAAGGCAGTAAAAATCATCTCTTGAACAGGCAGAAATGAACACTTCTCAAATGAACACTTACCCTATCCTCCTCCCCCTTCTTCTCTTCAGTATCTCCCATGTTAGTGCTGGGGTGGGGGAGTCACAGGTCTCAAACAAATGGGCACCTGGAATGGGAAAGACAAAAGGCATTGTACATGTCAGATGTATATACAAATGTATTTGACTTACAAATTACATTATGACACTGCATATTAAAAGTATAGAATTGCTCTACTGTAATATCGAAATAAAGAGAAATAATTCCATGAGTTAACAGTCACAAGACCACTTGAATTTCAACGGATCTTCTTAAAGTTGACCTACTAATTATTAAAGACCTACTATTGGGCCTAAAAATGGTAAAATTCTGGCGCAGTCACACATACACTGCCCAAGCAGCCTTTAATGCTCAGAACTACAGAATCCTTTTATTTCACAAAAGGGACTGAATCTGTGGGTGGTACCATGTGTTCTACAGAATATGCAGCAGAACTGCCATATACGGAATGACATTGCTACATTTGGCTTATCACAACACAGGCTTTTTTTAACAAGATGGCATTAATTACAAAAACGTCTGTCTTTCACCAAAATGATATATAGGACCCAGGAAACACTGAAATAATGACGTCAGCAAAATTCTTATTTTGATATTCACAGGATGTGATTCACCAGTATTGGAAAATGATGGGTTTGTGATAAAGATAACCTTTATGAATATCATAAGTAATTTTGGTAACATGCAAATATAGCACAGTCAGTCTACATGCTGCCAATAGAAACTGTTCAAGATTACTCATCATGAATCATGTAGTAAAATGTCTCATTCTCCTTTTTTACCTACAATACTACATGTACAAGTTCACACTTTGAATTTTGAATAAAATACATCCTGATTAGTAGGATGTTGGATCAAAGCTTTTTGCTAATGACATAAAAATCATAAAAGGTTTCACTACATTTTTAGTAATTTTTAAACATTAATTTGATTAAGACAACATCTACAATACCACCTACTAGCTATCTTACTCTTCGCCTATCTTCACTGTCGTCAAGTGGAAAAGAACTAATAATAGTTCAGGTCACAGATGCATGTATTTTTGGATTATTAATATTCTAGACAGACAGTGACAGGAATGGAAGGGCACAGCTGACAGATATGGTGCCATGTCCTGGCAGTGCCATAACTCTATTTTTAGTACAACATGCCGGTGCCACATGGGAAGTTATGGAGGATCTCTGTTGGAAAGGTTGACATGATTTTTGGGAAACTTTCTTCCACACCAGGATCAGTAATATACTAAGAGCTGTGAGAATCTATCTTTAGATAAATATTTCATTGCCAGTTATGTTGGCTTTGTTAGCTTGAAAAAAGACTGAGACATTGGTGAATTTTTCAGAAAGGGAACAAAGAATGCCGGAATTATGTAAAATCTTCATTGTGTTTTAAGTTACAGTCCACAGCACGCAACAATACACAAACACATGAAGTACTAGTATCCTTGTGATGAAGTTTGGAAAATGCTTCTGAAGAGGACCATACTCATACTTGCTATCTACAGCTTCAGTGCCGTTCAATTTCATTCCCATTTCTCAATTCTGACAAAACTAGTCTGATGCTTTTAGTAACAGTTGAACTTAAAAACACAAGCCAAGATGTGATACCTAACTACATTACAGGAATAACTTACAAGTGGTTACAATTTTTAAAAATCGATTAAAACAAGTTTTTTACGAAATATCTACCATACTAGTTCCTCACAATCACATCATATAATTTTCACAAAAACGTAGCAGATTGAACACGAGATTCTACTCTAACTTCTAATGTTATCTTTACTTGTGAATAAAAACTGCAACCTCTACCGACAATATCGATTTCTGTTACGATACAGGCAGGGGAATGTTACAGCATGAGTTGGTGCGTATTCATTGAAATTATGCTTGCACCTGTCTGCATCAATCGTTCAAATATTTTGCCGCCACCACCATGCGCACATAAAAATTTGGTGCACACATTATAGGAACATAATTTTTATAGTCGTCATTTCAGGACACGGCAGTAGTTAGTTAACACTTTCCCACTCTTATAGGCAATGGAATAAGTCAGGAACTAGATAGAGAAATATATCCACGAGCCGAATATAAACCCCGATCGCTAGGATGAACATAATCCGCAGTGAAAATTTTATACGAACCACGAACACCACGGAAAGTTGCCCCCCTCCCCAACACAAAACATGCGTTGCCAAGTCCAGCGCTGCGGCGCAAAACTAACATCAGAAGGTCACATTTCCCGACATGGTTACATCTAAACAACAGAAAATTCTTTAAGGAGGAAAAACTAGTCAATTGTGCGTAAAAATGGACTTACGTGGCCGCGAAACAAGACGAGACAGAGATGGACCGATATCCCGTCGTTGTCTCAGTCACCGGTTCGCCTGCTAACCTAGGGTCCCGGATGTCAGCCGCCTACACACTCGTCTCGCGAGATTCTACGAGCTTTGAGGAAATAGGAGACACCCTACCCAAAATCTGGCCAAGTTTTGTTTTAGGGAACATTCTAGAAGTATACAATAATAGCTGTAGCCTTTAACTGAAATTGACGCATTACTGCCTTGGCCATTTTGCTATTTTTGCTACAATAAACAATATGATAGCTACTTTGTCAATATACTAGTAATCATATCATTCATAATGTTACTAATAATAAAAAGTATACAGTAGAAACAGCTGGTATTTGTGGATGTTCAAATTCTGTGGTAATGAAAAGCACATTTCACATTCAAGTTTATTCCAAATTCATTTTATCTAATTCCAACACACCTGCACATCTATTATCTGTGATATCATGTCACTGCACATGTTGCTTTCCACATTATATCAATTATTATGTAGCATTAAATAAGCGATCTAAAATGTAATCAATGTAGGAATGTTATTAATTACCTTAGGAAAAATATAATGCATACTCCGTTACAATAAATCCACTGCTTCATAAACTATATTCTCTTTGGTTGTTACAAAGGATATTAATAGTACTATATGTGTACTTTACAACAAAGTACATTAACTTAGATTATAAGAGTGTAAACATTTGCCAAAGAAAGAGTACTTGTAGTATCAGTTGTGTGTAACATTAAATGTGCCATTTGCAGCCTTTGTGTGTTCTCTATATCCTTTTCACTTCCCAGTCAGCACATGTAATGCATTTAAATTATAGTTTTAAAAACATTATGGTACTGGTTCGACTTTACGTGAATACTTAAGTATATGTCCACAACCTTGATACTTAAAGTATATTTAACTTACAAACAGCACTTACACTTTCAGTGTAATTAAAAATCAACATGAACTGCAAATTTTCCACAAAGGCAGGCTCTTGTCTCTCAATTGAAAAATCAAAACACACAAAATCTTCAGCTCCAAGCAGCAACAGCTTAATACATATTTGGTTTGGAATGCTTTATATGCATATCACCACATTTTAGCAGCATACTAAGATTATCTACAGCAAGAGCAGCAGAACTTTTAGTGCCTCTTATTTAATAAAAGCCTTAACGTTGCTCTAACAGTTACACAATGAGCTATAATTATCACCAAATAATCAGAGAAATCAACTGCTGAATCATTAAGTTATGTGTATCTGACAGATAACACATTACATAGAACTTTATTCAAGGATATTATTAACTTACGTAGCCCTTATTTATTCCTGTGTCTTCGGTTATTGACAAGTTAGCATCAACTTGTTAAAAATATAATTGTATTATAAGCATATCTGTTTATCCACAAAGGCATGTAGGATATATGTGTGTCTGGATTTATGTGATATTCTGTTCTTTTACATAACATCTTCCTAGTCAGCAATGTTGATAACTGTCTTGCCCCGAGCATGACCTCTGGCCAGGTGCTCATACGCCTTGTGGACGTCTGACAGGGAGAACACATTCTCCACTGCTGGCTTGATCTGCCATGAGGAAAACAAAAAAGGACATTATTTTCAAACTGCTACCGCCATGGCTTATAGCCATGAGACTAAGTGAGTGAGTGCGGAACTTCAGCACTAGTTTGTTACGATCCTTTTGCTATTGTCATGTGCTACATTAAGTTACTTGTTGATGAACTAGATAGTTTATCAAATGCTGTCAACAACGTTGCTTACACCATGTCAAGAATATTTATCAAAGAATGCAGTTCAATTCAATGAAGACCTGAGTTAAAACTGTTTTCACAGAATTGTGAATATGACTTACCTTGCCATCTTCCACCATTTGCTTCACCAAATCTAAGATCTCTCCATTTGCATAAGCAAATGCCCAGGAAAACCTCCGTCCATGCACCAGCCTCTGCAATGAGAAAACAGAAAATGATGTCCCTTATACTAATAACTTCTGTGCCCCATGTTCACACCCTATACTACAGTGTTAATAAATGACTAAATAGAGGCTTTGAAAAACTCTCCCCTAAAACAGAAGACCACAACTAACCTCCAAATCAACAACTTACTAGTACCTGATACAAAGCCCTCTTCCATTTCTGTGTTAAGGCAAAGAGAAGGCCAAGCACTATCCCATAGTTGTCCATGCTGTTCACCACCGGGGTCACGATCGTGGCATAGGACCCGCCCCTCTTCAGCAGTGCAAGAGACTCGGCCTCCACTTGGGGTCCAAGAGTGTTCAGCACAATATCTAACCTGCAGGATTTTGATTCAAGAATTGTGACTCAAAAGACAGCAATAAAAGGACACAGCTTTTAATATACATTTGCACAAATGACACATCATAACAGGTACTTTCCTCACCATTTGAAAGAACTGGTAGCTGCTATATAACAAAAATAGATGTTTTGAAGTACTTTAGTACCTCCTCTATAGAGGAGTCTAGTTATAAGCAAATGAAGCATTGAGGAAATATTACTAGCTAGTAATCATTTAGAACTCACTTGGGTTCTTCAGACAGCTTAGTGGCAAAGTTCTCCAGTTTGTAATCGATGATGTCATCAGCACCGAGACGTTTGACGAGCTCCACTCCTGAGGTGCTGCAGGTGGTGATGACGTGGCCGCTCCACGCTTTCACCAGCTGGATACTGAAGGTACCAACACCACCTGTCCCAGCATGCACCAACACCCTGAACACAGTACAGTGCAAGTTAGTCAGATGTTCATAAAAAATGGAATGTGGAATTTTCATGGCAAAGGCAAAACACCTTTAGAATAGAGGTCATTGTCTCTACAAACCTGACACTAGTAGTGATGCTGTCAGGAGCCAAGCAGAAAGAAGGAATCTGACCTATTTATTCCAGGGACACTGCAGATATCAAAAGCAAATGACAGAAAGATATATCAACTGTTAGAAGTCTGTTGGCGAGAAAGATGGAAGATGAAAAGATGGAAGACAAAGCAGTTTGTGCATAGAAGTTCTGAGTAAAACATGGCAGCCAAATTAAGAATGTTTTTATCAACACGACTAATTTGATTTATGAGCTCTTTTCTTACCTCTTGCCAGCTGTAGTTTCTTTTGTCATGCCAGCAGACTTTACCAGGGCTCCCCAGGACGTCAAGGCTACATGAGGGAAGGAAGCAGCCTCCACAAACGTCAGGTTGGTTGGCTTGAGAGACAGGGCAGCCTCCTTACAGATGGTGTATTCTGCAAGGCTACCATAGGTGTGATCCAGTCCTAGTGCTCCCCACACCTAGTGTAACAGAATACAAATACATGTTTTTGTACCTGCTCTGTAATCTTGAAAGGTATTTTATTGTTCTGATGGAAGCCCCAATTGAAATGAAATATGTACCTCATGACTCAACACTAAATGACTCTTTAACAATGTTGTGCATCCGTGAATAGTTTCATCAGGTTGGTAAGTCGCTGAGTAAAGAGACTCTTTTTACACAACCAAGTCTTTTATTCAGCCGACGTTGGCTGAATAAAAGGCTCAGTTGTGTAAAAAGAGTCTCTATACTCAGCAATGTTGACTGCTTAATCATTAAGTGTCTCACCTCATCTCCTGGCTTGAACTTGGTGACCTTTGGCCCAACTTCTTCAACTATTCCAGCAAAATCCCTCCCCACCATGATAGGGAACAGTGGAAGCTAGTAAATTGGAAAACTTGTGAGTGAGTAACAATTTCACTAACATAAAACACTCTTGTTGGCATTTGCAGACACAAATTGAAAGATACTTATGAATGATACCAGCTACTAACTGAGGTCCCATGGATAAAAACTAAATTGACTTTGTAAGCTCAAAGGGCTGATTTTAATAGGTAAGCAAAGTTGCATTCATCCATTACTGTAGCACAGTAAGATTAACTGTAAGAATAGATTAACTATATGGTCTCTTATGCTTTTCACCAAGTGCATGAGGACTGAGTGAGTGAGTAATTACTGTATCAGATTCTATACTCACCTTAGCCTTCCTGCGACTGGACCTGTATAGAGCATTCATGTAGCCCTCTCGGATCCTGAGGTCCAGCACGTTGATAGATGCAGCCTTGACCCTGATAAGAACATCGTCTCCAGCTGAGGGTGAAGGAACAGGGCAATCTTCATCCACTGTCATCACCTGGGGATGGTTAGAAAATGTAGTAAGCTACATTGGCGATATACTACCATGGTGAGCTATTATTCTCCTCTCTGCTCCTGTGACAGTGACCTGTGAGCAGAGAGGAGATTGTGGCCGAGCTGGTACTGTGGACTGCCAAGCATGGGAGGAGGAAGGCCGGCAGACCGGCTGCAACCTACATAGACTGCCTAAGGAGAGACACTGGCCTGGAGGTGGACTACTTGGGTCAAGTGATGGAAGACAGGGAGTGTTGGTCAGCCATTTTGTCTCGAGGCCAGGGACACCAGGACTCGACATAAGTCAAGTAAGTCAAGTCAAGAGCTATTATTAAGGCTTAAAAAGTATTGGTAAAAATAGAATAATGTTCACATTACATGATTGGACAAGATATCATAAGAAAGAAAACTTTTTACTTAAGTTTAAGAACAAACATGAAATAACAAGTATGAAGACCATGTCATATTAGGGCAGTGTGACAACCGTGACTTATTATTACCAAAAATGTAGATAACATGATGGATAGACAGGTACAGTGTTTCACTCTAACCTCCGGGCCTCCATATGATGTGAAAACAACAGCCTTCATCTTCTTTCCAGTGGTCGGTTGAGGTTCCAGCCTCCTGGGCTTGCGGCTCCATAATCGCAGACACACTGCCAGCAGGGTGGTGGTGACTGCTACACTGGCTCCCAGTAAAACCTGCTGTTTGTCAACTGCAAAAAAAGGTCCAGACTCCTACTGACTATTACCCTTCCAGTGCAACAGGCTGAGGCGAGGTCAGAGAATCTTACTATTCTCAGGCCATCTTAGCTCTACTGAGCTGAGAGTGACTATGTGGGTTAAGATGCCTGACAATTCTACTCTGGATCGATTTGGATGTTTGAGGATCCTCAATCCAGATTGACCCTGGATATACATACTAGTACCTCGGACAGTTCTCATGTTAATTACCATGTTCATATGCGTGGGAACGTGTCAAAACAAGGGGGCTGTTGATTACATTTATCCTAACGTCCTTGATCAAGAATTGCACAGTCTGATGATGATACTTAACTAAAGAGCGCTTTAGCTGACTTTCCCAAGTAAAGAGGAGGATAAGCTCGTCTTATATGGCCTTATATGAGCATATAAACTGTACCCTGATATCGCCCAACAGAAAATTGCCCCGGCGATGTGAGGTGCTCCCAAACAGCAGTGAAGAAAGAAGCCAGCTCTGTGAATGACACTTCTGCCATGGCTGTTACCCAGGGAGAACACACCGACTCGAGCAAATGCGCCTGAAGGAGGAAGTCATTACCGTTACTTCCTCCATAATTCCGCGAAAGCGCCAAAAGTTTGATTTAGGGGTCACTGGACGATCCCATTTCTCCATTGACAACAAATTATTTTAAAAAATTAATACAGTTATATAAACATAATCGTGCCACTCAAATAGACAAATAAAGAACATTGTGTACGTCTAACGTGATTATTTTGTTTTTAGTTCCATTTTTAAGCAGTTCAATTAATCAACAGTTCCAGTTACCTCCTTTCCTAGTGGTTACTCCTGACTTCGCGGCCGTGCGGTCAGTGACACGGGATCAATCGTTAATAGTATGATGAGGTCGTTGATGTTTGCCTTACCGTGAAATTTTCATATTCAACTTGTCAAGTGCGATAACCAAATTTGGTACAAATGTTTGCTATACGCTAGATTTTGCAATATTTGTAAACGACTAAACTATCATGATCCTACTCAGATTAAATGGTTGGTCCCGTTAGTGTAAAGTACGGTGCATGAAGCAAGATGGCTGCTCCGCTGAAACCTTGGGAGAGAGGTGCTGGTACTGGCCCTGTAGCCGCTACAGGTGAAGACAGAACCAGGTAAGATACTCTTGGTCAGGTACTGACAGGTACAAAGATCCTTATGATAACATTTTTACGCATGTCAAACTACATTCAGTTCCTAAAAACACAGAGAAAAGATATCAAAGTGGTGACGTTTATAGTGGCTTCGTACCTGTTCGTTGTTGTTGTTGTCTCTATTCTTCCGCTCATCTTCGTCGGATGTTAGTCTCATGTGCATTTCCTCTTCCTTCTCGTGTGCGTTGGTTCTCTCTGTGCTGCTCTCTTGTTGCTTTTTTCCATCGGCTGGGCGTGACAGTGGTGTCTCTTCTTTTCTTCTTCTAGTTGTTCTTTTTCTTGGTTTCAGCTTACATATTTACACATCTTCCTGCCACAGTCTTCTGTACTCATCTTCTCCACACAGTCTCTGCGGCACTCTTCTTCCTCTGTTCCAGCTGTACTCGTCTTCCTGCCATCGTCTCTGTGTTGTCTCTCTGTCACAGCTGTACTCATCTTCTCAACACAGTCTCTGTGGCACTCTTCTCCCTCTGTACTCGTCTTCCTGCCACAGTCTCTGTGTTCTCCCTCTGTCAAAGCTGTACCCCTCTTCTCAACACAGTATCTGCGGCACTCTTCTCCTCTGTTCCAGCTGTACTCGTCTTCCTGTCACAGTCTCTGTTTTCTCCCTCTGTCACAGCTGTACTCATCTCCTCAACACAGTCTCTGCGGCACTCTTCTCCCTTTGTTCCAGCTGTACCCGTCTTCCTGCCACAGTCTCTGTGTTCTCCCTTTGTTGCATCTATACTCGTCTTCTTTTTCTTGGTTTAACATATTTACATATTTACATGTCCACAGTTCTATTCAAATCTCTTTGTTGCCATTAAGTACTCAATAAGGGCTCTCTGTAGTTTGATGTTGCCCTCATGGCTGATGTCTTCCAGAGCACCTGTGTATAGCTCTAATCTTCCTGCAGCTGTCATGTGTTGTATTCCTTCCTCTTCTAAACACAGGTAGGTATCTCTTTCCAATACATTCCTCTGCTCTTCATATTTCTCACACTCCCACAGATAGTGGTCGATGGTCTCCACTTTTCTGCAATGCTCACATGTGTTTGAGGTGCATTCTGGATTGACTCTGTAGTTCATCTCATTAAGTCTCGTGTGACCACTTAGTATTTGATTGAGCAGGATATTCCCAGTCCGGTACTTGCTGTTCCCCATCTTTCTTTCACCAACCTTCTTGACGGCTTCATGTGTTGTACCACTAGTTGTAGACATGTTGTATCTTCGTTGCCATCTCTCATGTGTGTTGGTGTTGATTTCTCTCTTGATGTCCTGTTTCGTCATATGTGGGGTCAGCATGTGTTCATTTCCAGCACTTTCTCTGGCCCCTTCTTTTGCCAGTCCATCCGCTAGCTCGTTACCCACCACCCCCATGTGTCCTGGTGTCCATATTACTTGTACTGAGTTTCCCCCCTTCGTCAACTCGGTCAGTACTTTTCTTGTCTTGATGGTGATGTCATGGTAACTTGTGGGTGGTTCTGAATGTGTAGTTGATTCTATTGCTGCTTTGCAGTCGCATAGAATTGTGATGTTCTTGTCTGTGATCTTCATTTCCATCACGAACTCCGCAGCCAGTCTTATTCCTTCTACTTCCCCCAGGTAGTTGTTTCCTGAACTTGCGACTGCTTTCTTCAGGCATATTGGTGTGCTCTCTATGCCGTTCAGGTATACAGCCGCTCCACATCCTGTTGGCCCAGGATTTCCTAACGCGGAGCCGTCTGTGAAGCATAAAATGTCCTCTGTGGTGGATGTTCCAATCAGTTGTTTCACATTCTCCACTCCATCTTTCTTGCTCATGGTTTTTTGTAGGTCGAACAGCTTTCTTCTTATGACTGGTTGGAACACAGGTACTTCTAGATCGAACTGGTGCTCTTCTTCAACTGGTGCTGTGGACTTCTCACCCATAGCTTGCTTGTAATAGCTTTCCAGTAATGTGAGTGTCGTAGGAGTTCTTTCTCCTTCCTTTCTCGCCCTCCACTTGTTCAGCATTTCCCCTAGGGGTGAATGTGCTTTCTTTGCTAGTAATCTGGCATACTCTTTTGCTTGACATTCCAGTAGAAACAGATCTGTCGGTGGTACATTCGTGATCACTTCCAGTGCTTCCGTTGCCGTGTGTGACAGACAGCCAGTGATCTTCAACAGAGCTTGTCTCTGTACCTTGTCAAGCATCTTGAACGCTGTACTGTTGTCTGTTGCTAGTAGGGCTGCACCAAACTCCATGTGTGGTCGTATCAGGGTTTTGTATATGTGTATGGCCGTTCTCTGATCCACTCCTCTTCTCGGGTCAATAACTCCTGACACAGCCCTGAGTGTTCTGTATGCCTTCTTTACTTGCTGTTCTGCATGTGTTCTCATGTGAAGGGTTCTGTCCACTTGTACTCCCATCAGTCTCTTTCCCTCTGCTTCCACTAGTGGTTTGTCCCCCATCTTGAGCGAGATTCTAACTCTTGGTACTCTGGGTGGTTGGAAGACTACATACTCAGTCTTGCTGGGTTGTATCTTTGCATTCCATGTATTGCACCAGTTCTGAATTCTGTCTATGTCTTTCTGGATCTCTCTGACTATAGTGTCGAGGGTTTTTCCTCTCTTCCACATCATATTGTCATCCGCATACTCCCCATGTGCTGATTCTATTCTGACCATCATGTCCCCTGTGTATGCGTTGCATAACGTAGGTGAAATGATGGCTCCTTGTGGTATTCCCACTTTTGTTTCCTTCCATTCTGTCGTGTGTTCATTAACTCTGAATCTGTTCAGTCTGTCTTTCATGAATTCCTGAATATTCACTAGTAGTCTTCCATTTACTCCCATGTTGTACAACTTCAGAATCAGACCCTCTCTCCAGATTCTTTCATAGCAAGACTCAAGGTCCATCACTACCAACACTACAGACTCTCCACTCTGCCAAGCTTCCTGTATATCCTGCACCATTCTTAGTACAGTCTGTGTGCATGTTCTCTGTTTCCTGTATGCATCTTGTGTATCTGCTAGTTTTTCTTTCGCTTCCAGTAGCCACACTAGTCTGTTGTTGATTATTCTCTGCAGTAGCTTGCCGATGACACTTTGTAGTGTTATTGGTCTGTAGCTTTTTGTGATGTTGTAGTTTTCCTTGTTTGGTTTTGGTATTAGCACCTTAGGGTCTTGCTTGAAACTAGTAGGATGGATGCCATCTCTCCATGCTCTCTGTAACAGACAGTGTAGTGCACGCACCATCCCCTCTCCACCTTTCTTCAGTAGTTTTGCCGGGATACCTTCAGTAGGGCTGGGTGCACTTTCTTCTGTCATTTGTAGCGCCCTTTCAACTTCATCCTGACTGATGTCACTGTTCACTGCATGTGTGGCTTCCATATTTCTAGTCATTGCACCTGTTGTACTAGTGGTTGGACTCACATGTGTCTCTAATTCATGCACCTTGTTTTTTCCGCTTTTGTCTTTGGTATATTCTTCCATCACATGTGTGTTTGCTTCTTCGTTCTCTCCTTCTGATACAGCTATACTCATCTTCCTGACACAGTCTCTGTGGCTCTCTTCTCCCTCTGTTCCAGCTGTACTCGTCTTCCTGTCACAGTCTCTGTGTTCATCCTCTGTCGCAGCTGCACTCATCTTCTCAACACAGTCTCTGTGGCACTCTTCTCCCTCTGTTCCAGCTGTACTCGTCTTCCTGCCACATTCTCTGTGGCTCTCTTCTCCCTCTGTTCCAGCTGTACTCGTCTTCCTGCCACAGTCTCTGTGTACATCCTCTGTCGCAACTGCACTCATCTTCTCAACACAGTCTCTGTGGCACTCTTCTCCCTCTGTTCCAGCTGTACTCGTCTTCCTGCCACAGTCTCTGTGTTCTCCCTCTGTTCACAGGTGTAAACATGCTTGGCGGGGTTGAAAATCTTTAGAAAAGATGTCATAAGCTGCTGCAATCATGCGTACTGTTTAGTCAGTATTTTAAGTCACTCAGACATACTATTTATGCACCCAGTGATGATTTTGTTCTTTAAACATCGCCATAATTTCATAATTTGTGTCTTCTCTCTTCAGATGTTGTTGAATTTTAGATCCCTTGGTGAAAACATTAGTTGACGGTTTTGTATCTAAGCTGTGTGGTAAAATTCTTTTTCTCTTTCCCGTCCAGACCTGGCTCAGCACCAGTCAGCAGACCTACAGGACCATCCTCCAATGGCGGGCCGTCCCGTGCCCCTCCCCGCCCCCCTCCCGCCCCTCCAGACAACAGCCAGGCTCGTCCTTAAACAGATACAGCCCGATGTACGGAGGAGGGTACGGTGGATATGGAGGGGGCATGTACGGCGTAGGTGGCATGTACGGAGGTGGCATGTACGGGGGCGGGATGTATGGAAACAGTATGTATGGAGGATACGGCATGAACAGATATGGCACCACAAACAATGGCCAAAGTCCGAGCAGGTTTGTTCAAGCAGCTGAAGAGAGCAGCAGGCAGGCGTTCCAGTCCATTGAGAGTATCGTGTCAGCGTTTGGCTCTGTGTCCATGATGCTGGAGTCCACCTTCTATGCAGTGTACAATTCCTTCAGGGCCGTGCTGGGAGTCGCCGACCACTTCAGCCGCATGAAGACGCACTTTGCACAGATTTTCTCTGCCTTCGCCGTGGTGAGAACTCTACGTTACCTGTACAACAAACTGCTGATGCTGCTGGGAAGGAAGGTGAGCGCAGAGGCGGAGGCAGCCTGGAGCTCAGCGACCACCGAGGCACAGGCATCACCGCTAGAGGAGGATGGGAAGGGCAGGCCCAAGTCCTGGCCCATCATGCTGTTCCTGGCTGTGGCAGTGGGGGGACCGTGGCTCATCTGGAGACTCCTCAGCTCTGTGGCTGATGTGGCCAAACCAGGTACATGATGCTTGTACATAGCCTGGCCACCAAACCTATTATAGCTCCCGAGTCCGGAGAGGATGTAGGACTCGGGAGCTATAATAGGTTTGGTAACCAGGCTACCTTGTACAAACAAGACAAAGACAGGCAAATGGACTGGTATTGAAAAAGTGTTTAATTATTGCATTACGCATAGACACAGTAGTTGCAGAGTAGTGAGTTCTGTATTTTTTTCTTGCAGCTGAGACAGAGTGGGCCAATGGGAATGATGACCATGTGGTGGGGAGGGCAGAGTATGACTTTGAGGCTGAGAGTGAGGAGGAGCTATCCTTCCGTGCTGGTGACATGCTCAACTTTGCACCCAAAGGTGGGCCTTTGTTCTCCCTCTGGCTTGGTGCCAGTCTGGCACATCTGATCTTTATATTTTTTGACAAAACACCATCAGCATTCCAGTGATAACAGTTTCCTCATCAGTAGTGACAGTAGTAGATAAAAAGAGACTGCTTAAGAGGACAGAAGGCAATACAATAGAAGTATTGTTCAGGTAATTTGAGTCTGATGTTTTCCAAACAGAGATTCCTGTATGTTAAATTGGTAATTGGTAAGATGTTGTTTACCCTACAGACCTGCAGCCTAAGGTACGAGGGTGGCTGCTGGCCAGTCTGGACGGCCAGTCATCAGGCCTCGTCCCTGCCAACTACATCACCATCATGGGGAAGCGGCGGGGCAGGAAACACGTCCTTCAGGAGCAAAAACAGCAGCAACAGGAACCACTGGAACAGGTACAGGCACAGGCAGCAGCAGCAGGCCCTGGACAGGACCAGGAGGCATTGGACGACACCTTCCAGATGGTGCAGGACATGGCACCCAGCAGCAGGAGTGTCCAGCACAGCGCAAGCCTTCCCAATGACTTAATGTCTTTTGACAAAAGTTTCAGAACAGTGGAGCAGGAGGCTGGTAGTTCTAGTGCAAGCAGTCTGAAGGACTTTGATACAGCCTTTGAGAAAGAGCTGCCTACAGTACCACCACAGGGCAGTCCTGTCCCAGAAAAGTCCAACAGTAAGAAAGATGAAGTATAGGACAACAGTGTACAAGAGATGTGAGGCATGTGATGCAGCACACTTGATTCCATGGCACTTTATTGGTCTACTGAAGGTTTACTGTAAGATACTGAAGTAATGTATCTGTAATGTAATTTTACTAGATAAGCACCATCTGTGGCATAAAAAATCACAAACTGATATTTGCTTCTTTGCTTGGAAACTAATTATTTGAAAAGATATAATTCAGTTTAGGATCAAGTATCTTGTTATTGTCATCAATTTATATCTAGATACATATACAAATTTGTGACTTACAGCGATTTAGAAAGAAAAATTTCTTATAAAAAGGTGAAAATCCTATATCAAAGTTATCAAGCTGTTTCCAACAAGATGCTTTCTTGCACATTGAAATCATTTACTTCAGTGTGTCTTGGGCTTGGCAATATGGATAGTAATAATTGGAAATTTGTCAGAGGAGCTAGCCGGTTACAAAAGGTTTAGTTTGTCCTGGCAGAAACTATCTACACTATTTTGGCCAGTTTCTAGTGTTCATTCAGCATCAGCAGGAATATGGCAAATACTAAGTTCTACAGAACCCAGCAACACTGTTATCTCAACAGAGTAACAATGGAAAGACAACTTCAGTTTAAGAAATGTTGGCATGATTTAATTTCATACATCACAGGAACTTTTGCTATGAGGTACAATAAACTGAATCTCAAAGCTCTCTGACATAATTTCTACTGCTCTCTTAGAGCAAAGCTATCATACTGTTGTTGTAGGATGTCATTTATATTTGAAAAAATGTTTCTTGTAACACTTATGTCACTACTAACTGATCAAAAGGGGCTAATTGTTTCTACACAGTCAACACAGCAGCAAGCAAACATTTCACCCTAGTTTATCCACACATATCTTTAAAGCACAAATATAACTGTCTTTGTACTTCATAACCAAAAAAAAAAGAATTATTTACAGCTTAAATATTATACATCTTGAATCAAGGTCAAAAGCATTTGTACATAAGTTCATAAACAAAGTTGATTTTCAAGTCTTTAGGGTGAATAATGATTCGCTTCCCAAAACATGTAACGCTTGTTGTCAACATAATGCATTTCTAGCCATTCTGCAGTTAACCTTTAGAGTAAAACTAAGTGGCTGTTACTAGTCGGTCACTATCAGATCTTGTTTCATGTATCAGCCTATGATACACTATACTATACTATACTACTAATATTGTCTCTACATACAATGTACATGTAGTTGGATACTGTTATATCCATCCACTACTAGTATGTTCTTATTAGTGGTTAGATCTCAAAAACAGAAACCTTACAAAAAGCAACAAGTCCTCCCTATTCATTCAAGCACAAACAAAACTGACATTAAACTTTACTCATTAAACATAATAAAGTGCACATCAACCAATGTAAAAAATATCTTTGGCATAATCTTGACAACATAAGAATTCAAAATTTACAGCAAAGAAAACCTTATACATGTACATGCATGCATGTATCCAGCCTCTAGAAGCAGGGATTAATGACTGAACACCCCTTGCTGACATCAAAATCACTGTGGTAGATGGTTGGCCTCAGGCCCCACTTGTTTTTGCGGTAGATCCCGAGGCAAGTATAGACGTCGGGCTTGTAACTCATGGGGCACTTGATCCCCACCCGGCGGATGGCATTCTCCAGGAGCCAGACCTCATCTCTGTTGTTGAAGTTCATGTTGTACACACAAACCACATGCCTGTAGCTGGAGTCAGGAGTTTTGCTTGCAGGACTAACTTTTGCTGAGGAACCAAGCTTCCCTTCCACCACACCCCTCGCTATAGCGCTCCACGCATAGTCTACTTTGAAGCCGTTTTCAATATGGAACAGCCACTTCCCTGTGGTGCAGTGGTTGTTCAGTGCCAGGGACGTGATTGTTTCCAAGGTGACAGCCCGGCCGGAGTGCTTTAAGTGCTCCCAGCCTTCCTGGAGGTGCACAACATCACAGAGGGGGTCGTCCACATACGACTCTGCATGCACCGAGATCCAGCCAATGCCATCTTCCCTCATGACCTGAATACACATGCAGGGACAAAGGGTTACAGAGTTATCAGTCACAAGCCTCTTCATAACTCAGTACCTGTTCACTTACATGGACTTGTGATGATGGAAATATGCCCCTCTCATTTTTTTTTACAAACGGTTGCAACCAGTTTGTAAATTTCCATACAAATACAGTTGAGATGGAAGCTATGGTATCATTGGATACATTGTGTGAATTGGACTTAGATAGTAAGGACTAACGCCAATGATAGAACTTTGTTGAATATTTTCAAACCACTACAGGTTCATCAAAAACGAAATTGCAGTTATCAGAAGCCCACACTAGACACATACTAGTATTAGAGACATCTTACCTTTGACGGTGCAAATTCATCCAACCAAGGGTCCAGGTCAGACAGGTCCTTGATCCGAGCGTCAAACGTGATCCACTCGTCCAGGTCTGCAGCCATGGCCTCCGCGGCGTAGTCGTCAGCGGTCTTCTCAGCATCATGGAGGTGATCACCATGTTTGCCGTGGGCGTGGCCTTGATGGTTCCCATGGTAACCGTAGTCAGCTGGATCTACCTCCATGGTTGTCATGGTTGTTATCGTGTAGAACAATCACCAACTCCACCAGCGTGTACTGGGAGCAGTGAATATATACATGTGAGCGTGGTAAGTATCATGATTAGATATGATACACATTCATTTCCATGAGCTAAAGTTATTATATATAACGTCGATGATTCTTCATAATCATATCAAATGTCATCAATAGAATATTTGACATAAATTTGATAATTACGCTCATGATTTGGTGCATCATTCTCTTAAACCGCGTGGGCGAATATCAGAAATCAAAAGTCTGAGGCAAGTCTGAGAGTACCTTTCTATACTGGAGACACATACACATACATGTACAAATAAATAGTATTATGTGGTTTGAGGTTAGGTCAATTTACACCACAGGAGACCTGGTAGGACGGACTCCACCCAGGTGACCTAAGCGCTGGGTTCTGAGCGAGAACAAAAGATGCCTAAAATGAAAAAAGAAAGCGATGACAACTACCTACAAGCGTTTCTCAGTTTGCTCTGGATTCCAAGCGATCCCGTCCACACTGGCAGGGTCAATGCCACAGCTGTTAAGCCCCGCAAAATCACCAAAAACACGGAACAACTTGAACAAGCGACTGTTGTTTACGACTGCGACGTGACCCGAGTGTCAACTCTAACCTATAAATGATCACTTCCGGGTTAATGGTATATCACACCCTGGAATTTAGGCAACAATTTAGAATACCCGTTTGGACAAAGAACAGCAATGATAGTATTTTCGCATTACTATTTCATATCAATAAAGTTTTTTACCGTATGGTATGTTAAGTTTGGCACATTTTCTTCAATATTATCACCAGGCCTAAATCTTTTACCACCCCTGTTTTTCTAGTGTACGATGCCACTTTCCCGCCATGCATCATTCAACTTCCTTGCATCAGACAGAGGTTTTTCCACACGTGTGACGAACATTTCTCAAAGATTCCGTCCCTTTTTTGAAGACTTTGAAAGGTAAGAGTAGGTCTGGTACATCTTGTTTATACTGTCATACGAAATAGTATCAGAAAATGTGATTTTGGGACACCTAAGATAATATTAGAGCTGGCAATACTTGACACTTTGCAGGGCACCATGCACCAGCCATCATTTTCTACTCTACAGTATGGATCCCATATGTTTAAAACTAAAAGTTACATGATGTTGACTGATTTGCAGAGATTTGCTGGCGATGGAGTCTTCATGAATAATGAGCATTAAAGTCTATCCCACGAATTCGTCAATGGTAATACACCAATCAAGGAATTCTACCTTGCACCAAATTATATGTAACATAATTCTTCTTGATCAGCTGTTAATAATTGAAGAGTAGAGTAGAGTAGATCTTTCCTCTCGGTAGGAAGTTCTCTTCCACTTTGAGCCGCTCCTTGTAGTTAACTGCGTTGACATGGTCATCTTGTGGGGGTTGTCCAATGCCCGGGGGTTGTACACCACTGGATGACTTCTCATGTGTTTGTCCAGTCTATTTTTAAAACTGTTCACACTTGGGGCTGACACCACCTCCTTGAAGTATGTAATACTATGTTATTCTTTGTGGTAAGTGATATGCTTAACATGATTTTATATCACCACCGTATCTGTACAGATCCAGTAGACTGGGACATCATCACAATGGCGCCGTCTTGCCGCTTCTATGCCAAGCGGTATCCTCAGGTTGATGAGGTCATCATGGTGAATGTTCGGTCCATCGCAGAGATGGGAGCATATGTCAGCCTGCTGGAGTATAACAATATTGAAGGTCAGTCAGCCTCCCTGGGAAACAAACCTCATATGTTTGGAACATTGTTTAAACGTGAAGAGAAACTTGGTAGAATGGGTCAGGGGTACTTCTATTGGCTACCAGACCTATTTTAGCTCCCGAGTCCTACATCCTCTCCGCAAATAGAGGATGTAGAACTAGGTAGCTCTAATAGGTCTGGTTACCAGGCTATACTCCTAGTACATGTATCTGCAAACCAATTTTCCTTAGGGCATCCCATTTTACCTGTTAATATATACAAGCAACACAACAGATATTAAAAACATTTACGAATAAATGGAATTCTCACCCTGTACATCCAGATGAGAGCAGCCAGATGAGAGCAGAGACAGAATCTGCATTGCCTCCTGCCTGACTGGTTCAGCAGTCTTTTGGGTACAACAGACCAATATTGAAGTTTTCATAATGTTATGTTCTATTTTGTATGTTTCAGGTATGATCCTGCTGAGTGAATTGTCCCGGCGACGTATCCGTTCTATTAACAAGTTGATCCGAGTTGGTCGCAACGAGTGCGTGGTAGTCATCAGAGTGGATGAGGAAAAGGGTAGGCAACAACTTTCTCATTAGTCTTTTTATCATCTTTGTATTCTGGCCCAGATGCCAATACCGGTAATTATATCATATCATCTCTGAAACATCTCAGGAAAGTAGAGCTGGCAATTTATGAATGTATGACTAAGTTGAGTAAGCTGTAAGTTCAAGATCATATTAAGTTTCCTATTCTATTTATTTGATTGGCTTTCCTTGTTGTGTTGCTGTATACTTTTGTAAGTAAAATTTACTAAAAAACTGATCTGTGTATCCCTGTCTGCCTGCTGCAGGTTATATTGACTTGTCTAAGAGAAGAGTTTCGCAAGAGGAGATGGCTCAGTGTGAAGAAAAGTTTGCCAAGGCTAAGGCTGTAAGTTACCTTCTTACCTGTAGACATTTGTACTTAGTTGTACGTGTACTTGTTGAGTTCTCTTCATTCACTTGAGTAGCCTGCACAAATGGTCATTCGTGGCAAACTTGGGCTTTTCTTTGCTGTAAGCAGCTTCATTCACCAGGTTGTATCCAACATGAGTCAGCAGGGGCACTTCTTCTTCTATATACATGTCAAAACTTCATTTAGTTGAAGCCTCATGACACGGGGGTGGGGTGGAGGGCCATGTAAGGGGTGGTGGCTTGGGTTTTGTGAAATTTGTTTCTGGTGTGAGATATGAATTGAGAGACCCAGCTCCTCAATGGGTAGGGGCGCTACTGCCTGTCCACCACAGAAGGCAAACTTCACCTGACTTCAGTGTTGATCCCCCTGTCAGGTGAACAGTATCCTGCGGCATGTTGCCCACCTGCTGGAGTACCAGCACGACGAGCAGCTGGAGGATCTGTACATCCGCACCGCCTGGGCCTTTGACGATGAGAAACCCAGCAGCGCTTATGAGATGTTCAAGAAGGCTGTGTCGTAAGTACAGTCTGCACAATTATGGCTAGGCCTAGGAAAAAAATGTTGTTTCCTGTTTCCCGACCGACCCTAGAAAAACTGCCGACCCTAGGCTTTTTTTGGCTGGACCCTGCAAGGAACATGAATTTTTCAATTATTAACCTTTTCTAGCTCCATGAGTCTGACATTTTTGAATAATGAAACATTGTACAATCAGTTTCTCAACATTGACTTTTAAAATACAAGTGTCCTCATGCAAGTTTTCCGATCACTAGGGTCTAATAAAAAAACAAAACAAAAAAAAAGATAATCCCTACCTACCGACCCTAATTTTTTCAGGACTGCAACAGGAAACACAACATTTTTTTTTCCTAGGTCCTACTGATATATCACTGCATTTGACAGCCCTTAATTGAAGTTTTCTTGTGTGTGTGGAGAAGTCTGTGTCATTAGTTCCTAACAAGTTTCCCTGTGTGTATAGTGAGCCCCAGGTCCTGGACAAGCTGACTCTGACTGACCAGGAGAAGGAGGTGCTCCTGGCCAACATCAGGAGACGGCTGACTCCGCAGGCTGTCAAGATCAGATCTGGTAGGCTGAACAGTAAACCATCTTTCACTATGTCGATGAAGGTTAGATATCCAGGTGATAAGATACGCCAAAAAACAGTTACCCAAGCAACTGGATATGAGTTTGGAAATGGTCTAGATGTTTCATCAAGTTGCATCCACTACCTTTCGTCAGTGACACTAAGAGACATGCAGGTTTATGAGTACAAACTATTGATTGATATGCAAATAAGTGAAGACGATTTTTTTTGGACATGTTTAACTACCTCAGGGCATGAAGTTAAGTAGATGTACATGTATGCTGTGCTGTTTATCCATGGCAGAAGTTTAACCTTAGCTGTTGATCACTCATCATCATCAGGCAGCCTCAGTACAGTAATAATCAACCATGTCACATACAAAAACATAACCATAACTTTAAATTCATGTACTTTTGCAGTAGATTTATCTCACAGGACTGAAAAGGAGGTTTTCCTGGTGTTGCAAGTTAAATGTACACAAGAGACGAGTCAAGACCAAAGCAAGACAAAACTGTTTCTAACATGTCGATTGTTTTTACAGATATCGAGGTGGCATGTTACGGCTATGAGGGTATAGATGCTGTGAAGGGAGCGTTGAGAAAAGGTCTGGCTCTCACCACAGAAGACATGCCTATTAAGGTGAGGTACAACATTTCTGGTGACATTCTAAGGTCCAGTACATTGTTTAAGTGACCATCAGGAAAAGTATTCAACAGTTGTATTGCTTGTTTGTTTGTTTGTTTCAGTAAGCTGTCTTTAGATATAAACCGCCTTTAGACAATAAGTACAGTGGGTTCTTTAATGTGCGTCGGGTGTGGCTCTAACCAAGTACGGGACCTCCATTTAATGTCCTATCTGAGGGAACTCCCTAATCAAAGGTACTCATTTCCACCTGAGTGAAGTGAGGAAAGTCGTGTAAAGTGCCTTTCCCAAGGTGACATGATAGGATTCGAACCTGAGACCTCTTGGTCCTGATCGAGCCGAACATGCTACCGTTTATGCCACACAACCCCACTGCTGTCAGTTTAAACCCTACTTGACATTTCTGGGAATAACAGTTGTCCTGTTATTCCTAGATGTGCAAAGTCTGGAGACAGATCTAGAAGCCAAGCTTTTGAGGCTGACTTTTCCCTCTGACTTGTCCCTCAGATCAACCTGATTGCCCCACCGTTGTACGTAATGACGACTCAGACATTAGAGAGGACAGAGGGTGTGCTTCTCCTGCAGAAGGCCATCAATGCCATCAAGGAGGACATCGAAGAAGGTGGTGGAGTCTTCAACGTTCAGATGGCAGTAAGTCATGTTGTTTTCTCCTGTCTAGATTTTTACGTGACATGAGATGCAATTGACATCATCACTGCTAGCAATGAACATGTAAGAAAGAAGAAATTTTTTGAAATGAAAAGGTTTTCAAAGGGAAAGGTTCCGGAACTTTTTATTGGGGGACCACAGAATGATAACACATGTAACTATGTGATTGTTTTTTTTTCCCTCTTCAGCCCAAGGTGGTGACAGACACAGAAGAAATGGAACTGGCCAAACAGCTGGAGAAGTTGGAGGCTGCCAACAGGGAGGTCGACGGGGATGACGACTACGATGAGGAAGAAACTAAATAAGATTCTGTCTGCCTTTCAAATACGTAAAAAAATTGTCATTCTTTTTGTTTTTGTTCACAGAAGAACAGAAATTCCTCAAAGCTAGTCCATTTGGTATTGGAATGTGTACCTGCTCATTTGAGAATCAATTCAAGATTTAGAGGGATTTTGTTTTATAAAAATGGCCCTCCCCTGTTCTGGATTTAGCCAGGTGATCATGTTAAGAATTTAAACAATTTTTAAAGTCCCCTTGTCACTCCTACTTGTATGACTGACAGACTATATTTGAAAAGTGATGAGACCAGACTTTATAGGGTCATGTCTTACTTCAAGGAAGGTTTCTCAAATCTCTGACATATCCATATTATTATTTTATCAACCTAACATTATTCTAAAGTACATTAAACATTAATGTTGTAATGTTGATAGCATATGTACATACATGTACTGGCTTAGGATTAAAGTAGAGCATTGTGTTGTACATGTAGATCAATATCACATGTACTACAATACTAGACAATACTTTCTCCAACTTAAGACTACCAAAATAACATGGTCAGGAGAATCATCAATTGCTGCAGTCTGTATTACAATATTCACTGAACAACATTGAAGGAGTATGTTTAAAGTTAAAACTTTTGATCCAACACAAAAATTCTCTCACCTAGAGCTTTCAACCAGTCACTCTGGTCTTCCTCAGTAGACTGACCCAGTGAAGCTTGTCACGTGGCTTCTTTGAAGTGTGACGTCAACACTGGGTCAAAGGTATCTGGTAGACGTGACAAGCTTCACTGGGTCAGTCTACTGAGGAAGACCAGAGTGACTGGTTGAAAGCTCTAGGTGAGAGAATTTTTGTGTTGGATCAAAAGTTTTAACTTTAAACATGTAACTACCAACACAGATGAACTTTCATGATAGTATTGAAGGAGTATGTTTATGTCAAGTTTTACCAAGGCAGGTACAATTTATATTCAACATTGTGTACTGGCTTCAGAGTCAACATTTCCAATAATGGGCGAGGAAAATGTTACCATGTAGCTTCCATTCATTTAATTTCACAATGTTTATAATAAACTATACATCTACTGCACCTGCTTTATTGTGTATCAAATCCATCCAGAAATTTCCAAACAGATTTATCTGTGTACAGTATACATCCCCTCGTCAGTTTCAGCTTCCTATGGTGTGACTCAGTCATACAGGAGCATGTGGATGAGTTCACAGCACTGACATAACTTGTAGCTAACTACAGTCATCTGACTGCTTGGTGTCGCTCCAGACAAGAGGGTCTTAACTACATGTGTAAAATTTGACAGGACTTAAATTAAATAAACCTGTTAGAAAAAGCCTTCTTCATAATGACTCTGAGACTTGGACGGTGTTCTGGCGTACCCTCTGTATCTTTACTGCACCAACGCTGTTCATCATGTGCTGGTCGTCTTGGATGAGCATATTGGACAGGTCCAGCAGGACAAAGTCATGGACTCCCAGTGCCTGTACCTGTCAGCAAGCACACAGATCAGCTGATTGATTCACCTTGTAGTGACAGAGAGGGATATAGACAGGCACTACACTATGTGGGGAGGGGGGGGGGTAAGTTTGTAAGTACATAATAGGGTAGAGTTATTGCCCTCTATAGGTACAATGATTGCTCCTGTTCACAGTACCTCTATATCTCCCTAATTGGAATAATCCATTCAGATCGTCATTATTCCATGAAACTGTTCATCATAGACTACTACTCAAATGGCCATCAAAAATCCAAGACCATAGCATGCTCAGGACAAAAGATACAAAAACCGGGAGTTCTGCTGCAGTACCAAGGTCAGCCACCAGACTAAGACTTACTTCCTTCCGTGCGTACCTTTGCCTTTCTACGACCATGGAGTTAAAATTTAAACTCCATGCTACGACCTACCAAGATACCAAATATCACCCCAATCCATAAGGCGTTCTGAAGTCATGCTAACTACAAATGTGCAGAAACACACACACAGACAAACCAAAATAATACCTCCATTTTTCATGTAGGTAGTAATAAAATTTAAAATACCACAGTGTGTGGCGATTCACAGTTAAAAAGAACGTCCAGAGAGAAGCGTTAAAAGGATAATCTCCATACCTTTGGAGTGATGTGACTCTTGAAGTCTTTCAGGGTCATGTCCCTGAATAATGGCTCTGTAAACTTCACACTGTTGTCAAGGTACACTGAGACCTTCCACACTAGAGAAACAACAGTTCATAGGACATATAAGTTGTAAAATGAGAAGCACTATCAGAGATTAACCCCATTAGCGTTATAAGTATTGTACATGTACCGCGACCTTGTACAGTGTGTAATTTTCCTAAATATCTTTGACCCTTAACATGTTATCAAATCCAACAATAAAACATATGCCATGTTTTACATTTCTCGATACACTGTAGTCGGAAATTTTTGTACTGTATTGATGTTCTACCTGTGGCAGTTCGGTGGATTTTCATACAAACAAATATTTTGAGCACGTAATGGCTAGGATCGCGTATTACAATGGGATTCCTTTATCATGAGCTTGTATTTGCAGTGTAAAGATCACGGTGTACAGTCAAAAGTCATGCCTCGCGTTGTACTTTATAATTTTGAAAGGTCTGACAGGTTAAGAGATCAGTAAAGATTGGTCTGAGAAAGTCTTGCGCTTCAAAGCATGTGAATACTAAAGCAGTTAATCAGGACACCTGCCCTGAACCTAAAAAGTTCAACGGTGGCAGGATAGGAGCCGGCGGGGCCAATCAACCGCCCGTGGTAATTTTTATACTTTATGGAGACATCAAAATCAGTTAAAAAAAACCTCCTCTATCTGGATAGACTTAGGCGTTATTTCACATCATACTTTGAACCAAAAATGCTGTTACAGGTCTCAGTAGACAATAGAGTATTAAGAACGCACAGAATGAAGTTTCCTACTTCCTTACCTGGTGCTCTCGCTTCTGGGGCAGCCATTTTGCTGTAATTTTCCACACCGTCCTGCCTCACTCTCAGCAAAAACAAAGCTACAGTGCCTGTATAGGACCAAACATTGCATTTCAAAGTATGTTTCACATTGGGTAACGTAATCTAACTGATCTTGAAGTTCTGAGTTCATAAGACATGCTGAGTGACAAAAATTCGTTAACGTTTGGTCGCCAGTTCAAATATATGCACCTACGTGTACTACGCTACTGAAATAGGACCCCAAATAAGGAATGGCACAAATTTTTGTTAGGAAAGTAGAGTCTAGGGCATAGCAACTATGAAGATACATGTGTGGATATGTGACCATCTGCAGCGTCTACAAGCTATCTTCCACAGAAGCTATCTTCCACTACGGACTACAAAAATATACTGTTTTTGAAAGAGTTAGTTTTACCAATCGAAACGTTCACAATATCATGCCTAAATTTTAATCAAAACGAAAACTGACCACCGATGAGAGAAATTGGTACAAATATCACTGCATGTATAAGGGCATTGGCTGTCTATCATGCTAGCAGTTACTACATTTCCAGCCAAACTTCCTGGGACCAGACTGGTGGATGGGAAAACATTTGCTGCCATGTGTTTATGACATTACAACACTAGTAACGTACGTTACTACTGACAAACAATTTTTCATTTGTATATACATTGTACACATGTACGTACCATGTTGCCACATCATGCTATACATGCATCATATCATGTAGTTCACATTGACCAAAAAAACATGGGAAAACGATGGGGTGGCATTGACGGACAGCATGAACCAGAGAAACAAATTTTTCAAGTCTTCAAGTGAACGCCACGTTGTTACTCCAGTTGAAGGAGTGAGTGATAATATATTTTCTATTGCACAATACAGAGAAGACTTAGGTCCGAGCCATTCGTTATAGAAAGCAAAGAAAAAACCTCCCACCTGTTGTCAAGGTTTCCAACTGAAATGATAGTCCGATCTGGAGTGTTATGGGAGTAAACGCCCGTGGTGTGACCTCCCCATTGGTCAGTCCAGAGAGCCATTAATTCCAGGGTGATGACATAATCCTGAGATTTCGTACCGCGAAAACAAACTATTCCCCGAATTATGTTCAAAATGTCGTCCAAGAAACCCCAAAAGAATTGAATTTTGAGGTGGATGTGTTATTGAGGATGGTCAGATGCACTCTACTACGTTTCTTTCGTAAATTCGTGTACATAAGAATTCCATTGAAAGAATGTGCATTTTTCCTGATCGAGCACTTATCTTTAGTTTCTAACTTATCTTTCATGTACTGTGTTATATCAGTTTCTAACGAAACACAAGAAGGCAAAATAAGAGATCTCAAAGAAGGTTTATCATAAATATTCTAAATTGAAACCTATGCCTAGGAACTGTTTTACGTTTTCATGTTACATCATAGCAGATAAACAAGCGGATGAATAATAAAAAAGATATTCTAACGAGCTGTTATTGGAAACAATTCGTACTTAATCGACCCAACACATAATGTGTAATTATAAGCGATTCACCAATGAAACGACATGATAAAAACGTCCCATTTATACACAAAATGTACTTTTAATAGAGACCCAGTGTCCATTATTTACACACGCAAAACCGCATTCAAAGATAGTTACAAATGCATATGTCAGTCTAAAACATGCAAACCTATTATATAGACAAGTGCAACAAATTGATGAGAACAAATTCGGAGAAAATTCTTACAGGGTTAACTGACACATTAAAAAATGGATGTGGTATCGAGTAAAGTTGGTGTTATTATGACCCTGGCCTTGATACATAGACTTTCCACTTTCAAATGAAGTTTGTTTTTCCCCTGCCGATAATTTTTGTGCCGACGTGCACTAACAAACAAGATCCGACATTCTACCACTCCACATTGAGAAAAGGCATTACTGGAGTGCTAGCTGCTGTAAAGAAAGCCCTGTTGGTTGGTAAGATCTGTTCATGATATGTATTTTTGCTGTCCATTCAGGGAACGAAAATAATGTCCCTTGATTATTAATGCCTTTTATCTATAATATATAGTAATGTATCCATATAAGTGTGTCCCGGAAAACAAAACAAACAAAACGACATTTGCCTTCCCAGTACTGTAATTTAACAAAACAACGAAGACCAGGTCTGTGGTTGTTTTTCCCAGAAGTCTTCGCCCGACCCGGGGACTTTCCCAGCTAGTGGAAAGTCCCTATTACTCGTCATACAGTCGTGATTCAGTCATCATTAGAACCGTTCTAACTCGTCTTATATTCATTTTGTTAATGACATTATTAGTGGTATCTATTCCTTTACAAACAAAAGCAACTATCAAGACTATAAACGCTCGCTTTACACAAGTTGTTCGTACAACTGGACCACCGTGTACGTAACCATTATATGGCACTTGAATGTGGAACTTACAGCAGGTACCGGTAAGCAGGTAAAATACGTCCATGTGCAGACAGCGGCAGAATGTCATGTTTCCTAAAGTCATCTTGAACAGGTAAGGAATAGTTCTGAAAATTTCGTACTGTATTTGTGGACGTAGGTCGACGAGCGAGCAGGGCCATTCCTCTCGGTCTACTTTGCGCGAATTTTACAACGGTTTTAACGAACACTGATCACGTGCCGCTTGTAATGATATAAAAACGTCATAGAAGTTTGAATAATACGGCTACTGGTGAACTTCAACCTTTGACTTGGTCTAACGTAACAAAGAAGAAAACCTGTCAAAGCTTTATTTGGTGTAAATAGGCCTCCGCAAGACTAGTCCTAGGCCTGTCGGCAGGATTACATGTTTTCAACCATCTCTTGTTTCCAGTATGCAGAATTAGGCCTTGTACCTGCTGCCTATAGAGACAAAGCAGTGCTAACAAATAACATTTGAGGTTCATTGTATACAACATACATGCCAATTACAGGCATTCAACTCGGATCCCTGTTCACCTGCAATGTTCCATACCTAAGTATAAACAAAGAAATACATCAAGCAAACACATGCCGTGTGTTTATTAGTCCTCACGCAAGGTGTATAAACATGTCATTTCTGGCAGATACACCGACGTTTAGCTTAGAGGTTTTTGAATTCTGTCAATGGTTCTGCTAAATTTGTAACTTTTACCAACTATGCATCTAAAATGCACTGTTACAATTCCCTCATCGTCACGGTTCCCACTCTTCGGAAAATATAGTGTGTGAAATATATAATTTAATCTGTTGTTATACGCGTTTCCTGACGCTTGATATGACAAGGCTGGAATGTAAGCTTGTATGATTGCATGGTGGATGATTGCATGATGCATGTCCCTATCAAATGAAAAAGCCACTCAACGTTTCATAAAGTAAAACCCCATTTGCGTATATAACGTTACTGCAGAAAACTGCCAGAGATCGAAATGAAAGGACGGTCAAAAAAGTCGATTCATTTGTACTTGAATTCGGAGAAAGAAATAATACTGATGAAAACGTTTCTGACTACTCACTCTTGCCTTTTGAATGAGACTTGCAATCCTAATTCTATTGTCAGTATCGGGGAATTCCGCCTGGTGGAAATTCCCCGCCATGTTCACTGAGGCAAATATTAATACGTTGCAGGAGAAAACATCATTTCACACTGTTTTTCGGTTCACTGATGTTGTAATTTTGCTTTACAGGTTGGATGATGACCCGGCCAAGCATTTTCGCCGCACACATTATGCAGACGCAACAATATTAATCGATATGAGAATGCCTGAAGATACTAGTGTTCACAGTACACATGCACATGCAGTACTACGCTGTACGTACGGGTGAAAGCCAACGTTGAAGGAAGCCCGTCCAAATCCTACGTTTATGCGGCATCAAAATTATGTGGTTACAGAAAAATACTTTCGCAAAACTCACTCATGTGGCGATGGGGGCCAAATATAGGCCATATGTCACGCATGTTGCCAACTCCCGTCTCCCCGAGTCATGGCCGGCTGAACTACTAAGAGAGATACCGGTGAACAGAAAACTTGATCTGACACAAGACAAACACATGTAACGTTATATTATATTATATGAAACAAAAAAGGTTAATCCTCCTTGATATAAATGTACGTTACAAAGCTGCATAGACTGGTGTGCGCACTGGTACAATTACAGTACTAGCTATAGTATCATGTCACGTGGCGACGCTATTACGTCACTACTATTCAGGTGTAACTATCCATTCACAACTACTAAAAAGAAAGCAAATCAACCACTGTTTCTCTGTTGATTAAAAGAAAGGGTGTTGGACAAGAACTGGTTTGTTGGATTATTAGATAAGCTGCTGAGGACATTAATGTCCTTATGATGACACTTGACAGTAAAAGATGGAAATTTAGAGGGGTAAAACCAAGGAGGTTCAAAAAGGAAGCTCCATGGTAAAACTATCCGGCTGACTCATGTTGCAGTTCTTCCTAAATCCGTATGATAGCGCCCATTACTCGTACCCAAACGTACCCCAGTTCCAGGTGCACCTTTGTTAGTATTTTCGCATTGAACTATGGGTGTTAGCTGAAGTCGGAAATGTGGTAACGGTCGGCAGCCATCTTGGCGGTTGGATGGCAGAAACGTCTGTTATGATGAGCCAAACTTGAACACTTTTGCATCGATTCTTGACGGGGACAACTGGATTTTCAAGCAGAGAGGTCACAAGAGACAAGGACTGTCACAGTATTTCTAGCTGAAGGTGCAACTCTACCATCGTAGCATATTCCAGACGGAAAAGTTTGGGCCACCGCAACTCGGTTTGGGCGGATCTAGAGGAAAGTCGAGTCGCACTTTTTTGAGTCATCTGGCATTGAAAATAGCGGAGCTGTCGGACTCTGACACGAAGTTCCTGTCACGGTTTCCAGTTTTGCCGGCACCGTATGGTAACAAAAGGTCAAGACATGAGACATGCCGAGTTTTATAGTAAAATCTTTAAGTCTCGGCTTGCGGGCGCAGAGTTTGTGAGAGGTCCCTCCCCGTCCTGTTCTCAGATGAGCTTCTTCTGATTCAAGGGATTTGGAGTGTGAAGTAAAGCGGGGCCAAGTTTCACCTTCCCAAGTTTCCACCAGTTGCGGTTTGGACGAACACAACCTCGACGATGGAACTGCAACTGGATGACCGCCTTGCCCGGCTGGAACAGCGGGTTCGGGACTTGAAGTGCGAGATAAACATAGACGGCTTGCTGGTAAGTTTCTGGGAAGAGTCCGACCTAGCACTGTAGACGTTGTTCTCTCTAGTGGGGAGGGGCAGTTTGTCAGCATAGTCCGGTATGTACTCTGCGGAATGCAGAGCTATATACACACTAGACTTGGACGCAAAACAATAACATCACGTTTTCTTAACCATTTACCATTGGCTGAACATTGCAACAGGCGAGCTACGACTATTTCAAAAGAGTTGTGCATACTGGATGAGAGAATTCTTGTCGGATGACCGTTCTGTAAATATTTGGTTTTGCTGTGTTATGGACAACAGGCCACACGGCCCATCAGAGCTCGTGATAACATGACACCTCTGTTTGATAAGTCTCCGCAAACCCAGGGAAAAAGTCGTCAGCTTTGGATTCCACTGCAGATTAGTTCTAGGGCCCTGAGGTTAGGTCGATGTCCAAGTGCAGGCCGGGTTGAACCGGAGACACTTGACAGAGAAGTCATTGTCTCCCACTGGCCTGGGATGACATCATATGTCAGTATTCACCCAGGGTAGAACACCAGGACTACTGAGGTCTGAGTTCACCAGCAAACAGAAGCTGCCATTCAGTACAAGGCAGACGTAGACAAGTGCGAGGCACTCAGATAATATCACAAGTTGAGACCAAGAGTCAAAATCATAACCAGAAGTAACCTGTTGCATTTTCAATGTCATTCCCACATCACTTTATTTTCACTGGATGTGAAATCTTTCAGGTCAAGACTTCTCGTCTGTAATATCCCACATACCATAGTGCTGCCACATTTTGCACATTAAGTGTCATTACAAAAGGTCAGGGAAGGAAGGAACTGAATAATTCTTAATCCAAAGTCATCAAAACAAGCAAGCTTCTGGTATAGTAGTTGAACTGGCAGCATAACAGCATAACAAAGTATACTCTGAAACTAGTTTAATCCACAATCATCATACTGACAAAGGGTGGGCTATCCAGGTGTGTCGTGAATCTGTAGTATAGTATAGATAATACAGTACAAAAACAGCATTCTTTGTGGCGCAGTCCGAGTGATAACAATGCTGTTATGACTCACCCTACGTCTCTCTGGGTATGCATTACTTTCATCACGTAGTGGGGTGGGGGGAAGTGTCTTCCTATTTTGGGTTGTCTATGGCCAGATATAGTCTTGGAGATTCATTTACCCCATCCCACTGGTATAAATATATATTTGGTATGCAAATGATGGAAATGCCAGTTCCAGCTGCTTATCATTTGTGTGTAGTCTGGTCCTAAGCAGGCTGGAATTGTTGTCATTTCTGATTACCTAATGTGAAAATAACATAAGGGAGACAGTAATGTTTTTCTTCACGTATGTGTATGTACTGGTGAATTGCATAACAAAGTTAAATTCTCAGAAATGATGTCAGGCATGCCCAATGAAGCTGGACTCAAAGAAACAGGATGTTTTGGTTGTACCGGTACATACCTGACCTGTTTACGATCGTCATTGGAAAAGCACAACACAGCACAGGTTTCTTTCACTTCAGTAGATGACCACAGAACTCATAAAACATTTAAGACAAGGTAGACGCAAGCATAAATCTAGTTTTGACACAGACTTGTAACAATTGAGTTTGATATCCGTTTCTGTAGCTTTCTGTTGCCATGTTACAGAATAAGGACCAGATCCTGAACAAAGTTTTACTAGTGTGTTTGTCACTTCTTTTATCACAGTAAAACGAAGCTAGACTGTTCGTAACTGCAGATACTTAAGATACCTGTGTAATGGTTTATGGTGCAATGATTACAGTGTTGCCGGTACTGTTAAGCGCTTGGCACTTGTTGCAAGAAAGTACCTACTTAGAAAGACTAAAGAAATGCTTCAGTTGTTTTGAGTCTCTCCCGCAATTTCACCTGGAACAAGCTTGATGCACTTCTGCGTAATGAATCAGGATATCACTCAGCCGGTTCAAATATCATGTCAGGCAAGGCTTTGTACAAGATATCCATTTCTACAGTATTATTTTACAGATGATTTTTCTATGACATTGTTGTATAAATCTACAGATACTGATGATGTATTTCCAGAAAGTGTGTACCAAATAGACAACTCAAGTCGTGTTGTCATTTTTAAAAATATTTTTGGCTGATAATGGATTGATATAACGAAGCAGGTAAATTTTTGTGTACACATTTTTGAATTACATAACGGGACATACATATCTTATAGCTTTTATCCAGTTTGCATTAGTCAATGTGTCCCAATTTGGAATATGATGTAATAAAATGCTGTGGTAGGACATAAAAGCTTCTTACTTATACTGTATTCCCAACGCTGTACTTGTCAAGCCGCTTTTTATTCAAGGAATCAAAGTACAGGAAGCATCGTTCACTGAGTTATTGCCCTTGGGCATTATTGCACGCAATGTCAGACCCCGCAGACTGTCCAACAGGACCTTTTATTCAAGTTGTAGTCTCCTGAACCAAAACTTATCTGTGTAATTGGTACTATGTACGTAAAGATAGATGTAAAAAGAAAATCGCAACATGGACGACATCCGCTAATACTAGAGATATACTCTACAGTTCCTCCAGTGATAGTTACCCAAGTTAAGGTAAAGGTCCCTCAAGGGATCTGCAATTGATACAGTTCATCTTGTATATGTATGGTAACAGGTTCTGCAGGAAATGGTGGGGTCAAAGTTCACTCATTCCTCCTGCAGTAGTATGTGTGTAGATTACATACTGTGGGTCCTTGTTATGTCGGTTTTAAATGGTCATAACCAGACTGTAAAGTGAACGAACAAGACAGTTAAGTGAAACGTTCCAAAGGCGGTGGATGTATTTATGTAATGATTTTGGAGAGAGGTAAATGAGCTGGAAGAACAAGTCGTGCTACATACAGTTTAGGAGACAATCCAGGGCTTGAAATACTGGGTGCATGTGCACCATAGTACACCCAAAATTGGAGCTGTGCACCCAATTTTTTTCAGTGGGTGCACTAGAGAACCCAAATATTTTTGGAGGTATTTTTTGCATATTAAATGTATAATAGTATACAGTATATTCTTGACATCTAAGTGTCCGAAAAATAATAACACCTTTGTTGTAGTACATACTTGGTGGTACTTGTTTAAGATTTTGAAGTTAGCTCCCATTTCAGATTCAAGCTCAGAAGAGAAGCAGTAAGATCCTTAGGTTTTACAATGCATTTTACAGGGTTCGAAATACTTTTTTTCAGGTACGTGCAAAATTGCACATTGGCAAAATTTTTAGGTGCAATTTGAAAAATTTATGTGCAAAATTATATTTAGCCTTGCATCTTTAGGTTTGGAACTGTTTTACTGTGTATCAACCTTCTTAGCCTGCCACTGCATATAGAAGTTTTAGTATACATTAAAAAGAAGGGACCAAACAAAACATGAACAATGCAAGTATCATCTGTGTTTATAAAAAAAAAGAACACAAAAAAAATTTGTCGGCATTAGCTTCAAAGGACGCCGCTAGTGACACCCGGCCCTCTCACTCGTCATAAAAAAAATTTACCAACAGTATGCGAGCAATAAATTTCATTTATTTTGCATATTTGTTTACCTTGAATATCGTGCACGATATAACTTAAGGAAAAAAATACTGCTTAGAAAAAAATAACGTCCGGTTAATTTTTACTTCTTGGCGCTCCCCTCCCCCTCCTCTGGGGGCGCGTCGTCAACATCGGCCGCGGGATCCTCGGAGACGGTGGACCCGGTGGCATCTCCCGATCCACCGCCCCCGGCTGCACCAGCCTCTGGTCCACCGCCACCGGCTGCACCAGCCTCTGATGCCGGCTGGGCCCGTGAAAAGAACTTGAAAATCGACCCTTTCTTCATGGGCCCTTCTTCATGCTTTACAAATTTCCTGGGTAGCACTGAATGCTGGGAAATCCGAAAACTCTGTTTTTCACCGAATTTTACCGAAAATTGGACGAAAAAGCCGAAATTACTCTGCCGAAGGACTTCGTACCACATCGGGCAACAAGTTTCGCGGGTCTCACCATATTTGGTAAATCTGCTACGTAGGCCTTCGCGTCTTGCCATATTAGGTAAATCATTACGTAATGCCTTCGCGTCTTCACCTGGGGACGAGAGCAGCTTGTTCCCAGGATGTTCAGTAAAGAAAACAATATGGCTGCCATGCGCCCAGCGCGATGCCGACACACAAGAAACTTCGGAGATACGCAGTGCAAACATGATATATCGGTATTGTCCAGGTGCAAAATTGCACATTCAAAATATTTTTAGGTGCAAATCTTGAAAATTACGTGCAATTTGCACATTGCACCTTTGTATTTCGAACCCTGATTTTAGTAATTTTTTACGATGTATTTTATGTGGTGCAACAAAAAATTTTTTCTGTGCACTCAATTTTTCAGGTTGGGTGCACCTATTCCCCAAAATGAATTTTGAGCCCTGCAATCTATGAATAAGCTGTTGGCAAACATGTTGCTTGTTTGTTTTTAAAAATTTTTTTACCGGTTTCTTCACTTGCAAGTTGCAACAGGTATTTATATTTACCTGTACATCATTTTTTATGATTCTATTAATTATAAAAATTATTGCTGTTCCATGTGTGTAGCAGTATTACTAAGTTTGGTTGTTATTATATCAGAGTCCATTGGTCTGGTCAGGGGTTACTTTGAGACTTTTGGCATAACTTTGTATCACGGCAGCTGATAAACATAGCTGATATTGGCTACATGGGGAGAGAAAGGTCAAAGGAAGTTTGTTTTTCCTTCCATGTCATGTACAAAATGTAGATGTGCCCCAACGGTTTGAACTGTTGACTTGTACTTTGTCTAACTTGATGGCTAACCCAATGGGCTTGTATATCATACAGTCTAAATATTGATATGTACATTTACATGTATTATGCATGCAAAGTGCTTTTGCCCACCATTTGAGATTTTAGTACAACTTGAATCAGCCAAATTGGTAAAGAAAAACTTGAAGTAAACTCTATTGTAGATGTTGTTTGATGATGTACGTCCATCAATGTTGTTT